GTGCTCAAGAGAGCTTTGAAAAGTGACATCTGAGAGCTGTCTGCAGTTGCCCCATCAATTATACTCTTAGCATTATGTATACAACAAAGACACACCACTCCACAGAATCTGGGATTTGTTCTCCTGACAAGCTGCTCATTAATCAGACAATGGGGAGAAACAAGAATCATGGCAAATATTATCTTTTTCAAATAATGCAATGAATAAATACAGAAAATCCAACTAATGGCATCTGATGTGTGGATAACACAATCATTGTCAATGTCACTCCAAGACAAGGTCAAAGCTCCATATGTTGTTCGAATTCACCTCTTAGTAGCCCTAGCCAGTGTTAACAATGTTGTGGAATGAAATCAACAACATCTGTGACACCAACATCTGGGGCACTGTGCCTTCATCCCAGTTTAATGAGATGTCAACAGGATGTAGCTTCCTCCTAACACACCCACTTCCTCCTTTTTCTCTCTTCTTCCTGAAGAGCTGGGAATATGTGTTCAAAGCCCACAATTCCCGTTCTATTGAACCACTGATGACCAGTGATTAACAATATATATGGTTCATTTAAAGCAGTGGGTCTCAACCTGGGGTCCCCAGATGTTTTTGGCCTTCAGCTCCCAGAAATCCTAACAGCTGGCAAACTGGCAGGGATTTCTGGGAGTTGTAGGCCAAAAACATCTGGGGACCCCAGGTTGAGAACCAGTGATTTAAAGCAAGGATGGGAAGCAAGCAGCCCCATGCCAATATTGGAGAGCTGTTGCTTCCAGCATCTCTTGACAGCCTAATAGACAATATTGAGTGAAGGCCAGCTATATTTGGAGGACCAAAATTTGTTTTTGGAGGACCAACATTCAAATTGACTTGTTTCAATTAATCATAGATACTCTTAATTAAAGTTAATGAAGTTTGAATGAAGTGTCAAGTTGTACTTAATTAAAAATGGAAGAAGCAGACATGCAAGATCATAAGATGGGCAGAGAGGCAAGAGAGTATGAACCTAGAAAAGGATTCCCATAGTTCACCTCTGGCTAAGGCCCTTATCAGATGCAGACTTTAAAAACAGTTTAAATACTGCTTCACGGGGCCATCTAACAACATAAGAGCTCTTCCAGAAATTCTCTATAGGACTCTGTTTTTTTTAAATTAAATTGTTTAGAAATGTTCAGAGCTCCTGATTCACACAGAAATGGCTAAATGCACTTATTTTAAGGTGGAATGAGAACTGTCTGATTCCCCCATTTTACATTGTTGTAGTGAAGTCAAAGTGGGTGTGATATCGAGCTCTTTTGTGGAGGGTCTTCCCAGCAAGGGAGATCCCTGAGGACCGTGCCAAAAGGGCCCTGGATACCTTGGTGAGGCCAGCGAAGCCAATCTCAAATGATTAAAGTATTAAAAATAATAATAATACCCCACCAGAGTGGAAGAAGGTTTTACAAGCGACCGAGGCGTTTATTTGCGATTCAGCTGATATCGGATGCATTGCAGGAATCATTCCACCACAAGCATAACAGCTAGGGCAGTTACAAGCATATTTATAGACAAAATACAAAGGAAAGCATTTCAAATGTCCTGCCCGCCCTCTGCCCCTGGAGAGCCAATCAGCAGGCTTTCCTTACGAATCAGAAGCAGGCCAGGCGGGAAAACCGCAGGCCATGGGGAAATGATGGGATTACAGATTGCCAGCCAGAATGGAATGTGAGGCTTTGTCTTGGCTGGCAAGGTGTGACCGCTGTAAACAAAGGTTTTCCTGTTGGAAATGGTTTTGGGGGAAGAAACAACAGGGTCAGATTGCGGACCTCGGAAAGGGATCAACGCTATCTTTTGTAATTTCAATCATTTTTTCTTGTTCTCATGAATTCCTTTATCTCACTAGACCTGCTCAGAGAATGAGACGAAGGAATCACGGCTATTGTTCCATGCGGATGAGTTAATCAATGGATGAGACAGGGATTTCCCCCCAAGCATTGCAACAGTTCCTGGTCACTTTTTGTAAGGGAAAGGTCAAGAGGGAAAAAGGGGAAGGCAGGGAAGCGGATGGCATCTCATGCATACAAAGTTCATATAAAAATTCCCTTTCCCACCCCACTTCTTTATTATTTTATTGCATTATTGATTTATTAAAAGAACTGGAAATCCCATGCTCCTGGGGAAGGTTCGTGGAAGCGGAGGTGGTTTGCAGTCCAAGTCAGGCAACAAAGAGTCATTTCTCCCTGCAGAAGTCAGCAGATGGGCACTGAGTTGATCAATAACAGAGTCCATCGCTCAGCCCTTGGGGAACTACAACTCTCACAAAAGGGCAGAAGTCCCAAGATCCAGCCATTTCCCAAAAAGCCTCGTGGGGTCCTTGTTGTTGTCAGTGCCTTGGCAATGTGGCCAAGACTTAACCCTTGTTGTGTAGTCTGGTGCCCTTGCCCTTTGCAGAACTATAAGTCCTTATCCCTTAATTTTGAGGGGGGAGGGGGGTGCCTGACATCAGGTGGTCTCTAAATGTGCCTCAATGCTCTTTTAATCACGATTATTCTCTTGCATGAAACTTTTATGGCAATTTTTAAAGATAATTTTTCCCGTGTCAGGAGCAATTTGAGAAACTGCTTTTGGTGTGAGAGAACTGGCCCTCTGCAAGGACATTGCGCAGGGTGTTTGATGGATGTTTTGATGTTTTACCGTCCTTGTGGGAGACTTCTCTCATGTCCCCACATGGGGAGCTGGAGCTGACAGAGGGAGCTTAACCCGTTCTCCCCAGATTCGAACCACTGACCTATTGATCAGCAGTCTTGCCGGCACAAGGGTTTAACCCACTGCCCACCAGGGGCAGTTTATTCTTCAGGAATTGCACAATATTGATATATTACTAATTCGCTGTAACTATTTCCCTTTTTTTAGACCTGGATTCTCCAAATTTTAACATATTGTGTTAATTATTCCTGTCACTTTTTATATTACAAATAATTAAAAATACCAGGGATATGAAATTCCAAGTTTACACCTTATTTAATTAAAAGAAAGAAAGACAGCAGTACGGGCGGAGAATACACTTGCCCATGCGATAGCTCAGAAAGTGGAGGATTTCTATAAAAATGGACAGAGTACATCATGTGATGGCAGCAAATGAAGTATTAATATTTCTTTAAAAATAGAAAGGCTCAAAATGGTAAGGTAAGAAGATGATCTCCCCTGCTTTGTGCTCCTAATGGGATGAGGTCCTAAGGCTGCCTATTTGCATAAACATTCTTCCTTTTGTCTGTCCTACAACATACATGGATTGATTGGTTTAACCTTAGCCTACATGAGTTGATGTAAACTTTTTTGTTTTTTTGTGTTGTGTTTTGTTTTGTTTTGTTTGTTTGTGTGCAAATTAAGATCTAGGGACCACATTGTCTCTTAGGGCCCATCCAGACAAGCCTTTAACCCATGACACCTCCAATAAAATCAGTCTAATTTGGGACAAAGCAGATAAACCCTGCTTTGTCCCAAATTAATTAGATACCTGGTAAGACCCAGATCTTTGATAAGATATTTCCAGGTGTGGGCCTCATGCAATCTCTGGCCCAATCCACAAAGCCCATTTGGGATTTTCCTGGAAAACCAAGAGGGTACCCACCCCCTCCCCAAAAACCCAAAATAAGCCCTTGAAAAGGAAAAGAACTTACTTGGCTGCCATTAAAGTACTGCTGGAGTCCTCCTGGCATGTAAAAATGACACATCAGGAGATATGGGTGAGGAGAGATCCCTCCCCCCCCCCCAAAAAAAATCTTCTGGCATGTCATTCTATGCACCAGGAGGACTCTAGCTGTATTTTAATGGTGGCCAGGTAAGTTGTTTTTAATTTTAAGGGCTTATTTTTGAGGGACTTAAACGTGCACCAAAGCAGGTTTCTTAAACCCGCTTTGGCGTGCATTTAAGTGAAGTTTGGACGCATCCTAGGAAATGATATCTTAGAAATGCTGGCTGTTTGAAGGATGCTGAGTCTAAAGCTCAGATAAATTACTTTTTTGGTATTTACTAGTTAACATGGCCAGTGGGTAAGGTAGCTGGGATATTCGTAGAGCTGTTGATCAAAAAATAATGTTCCCAGTTTTTGGTCAAGTATCAGATAACATAGCTAGAAAATGGAATCAGAAAGTAAACAACAGAAATACATTATGATTTCTAACTTCAGTTGTCAACAGAACTAAACAGAAAAATGGTCAGCTTCAGTTATATCATACTGAGCCTTTCAGTTAAAACTGGGAATGTGGTTTGCACATATAATTTAATTATAAGAGCAAGGCTCCCCTACTATGCCTTTTCTTCAACATAAATAAACACTGGTACACAAACATTACACTGAGGCACAACTGTTTTTTCAGCATTATGAAAACCATGCTTGAGATCTCTGAATCATAGCAACTATTGGCTGACATTAGAAATGCAGTGGCTTCATTTAACTATAATGCCAGCCATGTTTAGAGTGATAAATGTAGCCACTTTGTATGCTTGTATATGGTGGCAATTCTGTCCCTCTTTTCCAGAACTGAGCCAAATGTCACAAATTGTCATTTCATGTGAACCAGTAAATTGGGCTTTTGCACTTGTCCCAAAAGTGAGCACAAATTATAGTTTGGGGTGAGGAAGAAAGGAGAGTTTGTCTTACTCTCTGGTTGAGGAATGTGTGATCCTCTAAATGTTGCTGAACTCCATTACTACATCATTAACTATGTTGCCCAGGGCTGATGTGAGTTCCAGTTCACAATATCTGAAGGGCCATTCATTCCCCATCCTGGCCTTATACAAGGGATGTCTCATTGTAATATGAAGAGAGATGGGGAAGTAAGATCACATGGTGTATCAGAAGGTCTTTGAAGACTCCTTCTTATCTGAAAGAAACCATTGTATAAATGTAAAAATCAATGTGAAAAGCTGGGGTGGAGGTGTTTACTATTCTAGTGTGTGGTGTTTGGGTGATGGGGGATCTGCATTTAATATGAAAGTTGATAATGTATTTTGCAAATATTCACCTGAAGTTTTGCACAGTGGAAGGCTTCATCACAGCCTTGATGGATGAGTACCCACGCCTATTGAGAACAAGGAAGAAAATCTTCATTGCAATAGTGTGTTTCATTTCCTACCTCATTGGGTTCTCCAACATCACCCAGGTAAACCTGAGCTAATGAATAATTAATGCATGTCCTTTCCCCCTTAGCTTGTGCTACTATTAACAATATTAACAATATAATAATACTCCTACAACACCATCTTATTTACCTTTTTTGTCCTGTTTTTTCCACTCCTGATATTTATTAGATTAGATGAGGATAATAATGATGATTTACACTGTGCATTATAGATTTTGATAAGCATACATATGGAATTCATTAAAGATCATGGCTGGAATTCTGTTGAATGGTTATGAGATCATAAGATAGACTTACAATCTTGTAGTTGCTGCTATGGTTTCATGTTTACTGTAATGAGCAGCCACAAATCTCTCCCCCCCCCCCCCCCCCCTCCACACACACACACACACATAATCCTATCTCTGCAGCCTGGCAGCACCCTAAGTGAAATATTTCTGAAGTGCTGGGAATCAGGGCACTGGAAAATGATGTGTGTAACGCTCTCTGAGTCATGGGGCACCTTGAGACAAATAGTTGTGGTAGGAACTTAAATGTTTTCTCCAACTGTAATATCTAGCATCCCTCATGTTGGCTAGAACTGCTGGCAGTTGCAGTCAAACAGTATCTGGAGGGATGAATTTTGCTCACCATTCCCTGATCTAGATTGACCAGAGGTTTCAATCAGAATAAGACAGCTTCCTAGTTTCATTGGAGTAGATACGATCACAGTTTCAAAATCCCTCAGAATGGGACTTCTCTGTCTTCCTTTGCCTCACTGCATTAAGATTCCATCTTGTGTCCCCTCAGGGTGGCATCTATGTTTTCAAGCTGTTTGATTATTACTCTGCCAGCGGCATGTGTCTCCTCTTCCTTGTCTTCTTTGAGACGATCTCCATCTCCTGGTGTTACGGTATGTCTTATTGCTTCTTAGCTCCCTTCTTGCAAACATCAGCAAGACCTGGAATGGGTCATGAGGACTTCTATTTTATTGTTGTTTAAAACCAAACAGAGTGGGCCATGCTTCGAAAAGGTTGTGACTGCAGAAGGGACACATCTCCATGGTTGCACCGCTACTCCCAGCATTCCTTGCCAATTGCTTTGCTGGCTGGATGGGCATTGCTAGATGGGTATTGCAGTCCAATAACATCTTTACTCATAGTTGGAGTAAACAACAATAAGTGTTGACCTCTTTTGCTTGGCTAATGCAAGAAAGATCCAGAGCTTGGGAAAGTTTACAGTTTGGAACACAACTCCCAGAGTACACCAGCTCGTATGGTGATTCTGATGGGGTATTTTAGGCATTGTCATCAGAAAGGTAAACTTTCTATGCCCCGAAAAAGTCAATTAACAATATGTCAACACATATAACTGGGAGGTAACACAAGGGTCATCTAGACCAACCACCTGTCATAGCAGAAATCCATAGCTAAAATATCACTATGGTGAGATAATCTAAACATGGTTTTATGAGCAGAACATATGTCTCTCTGTCTTCATTTCAGGTGTCAACAGATTTTATAGCAACATTGAAGAGATGATCGGTTATAGGCCCTGTGGATGGTGGAAGATATGCTGGTCCTTCTTCACTCCACTTGTTTGTTTGGTAAGAACTTAAGGTGCCTTTCACCATTACATATTTATAGTGCTGATTCCACGTTGACAGCCATGGTTGCATCCAGTGGGGTTCTGAGATTTGTAGTTTAGTCACCAGATCTCTTTGACTAAGGATTCTCAAAACCTCTCCCTAAATTGCAAATCCCAGAATTCCACAGGATATTTCCATGGCAATTAAAATGGATTTACCGTTCTATCATTGTAAAAGGGCCCAGAGACAAGCCATCTCAAGAATTGTCTTGCCTACATCAAAGAACAAAGGGCTGTTGAGGTCAACATTCAATCCACCAAACAGCACTTGTTTCGAGGGCAAATTAAACATCATATTATTTATCTATTGTGTTTGTGTTTCTTTCCCTCTTTTGAAATAAATAGCAACCTGGAGGCAAAATGAATGTGGATCATGTTGTGGTTTATTTTTTAAATATTTTGCCCTTCTAATGGTCCCACTCATCGAATATCAGCGATAGAGGTTATGTGTCTTTCACATCTAATAATCTAACACAGGGGAAAGGAGAGGCCTGATGACTGCTTATGGCTCAACAGATCTGTTTTGGCAATCCTCAGCTTCACTTTTAAAACAGGTTACCGCTCTCTCCCATTTTATAACACAGAAAAAGATACCAATTTTTCAAAATTAGGAGTGGACTTACAGCCACTTTGTGATTGCCTGTGCAACCCCCAGAAGCAGAAAACTGGCCCTCAGACAATTCTCTTCCCTGACTTCTGGGGTTGCCACATAAAATAATGGACAGACTCCTGTCTTAATGGTTGTGTGTTGTTGTTTATCCATTCAATCGGTTCCGACTCTTCATGACCCCATGGACCAGCCCACATGAGAGCCCCTGTTGGCTGTCACCACCCCCAGCTCATTCAAGCCAAGCCAGTCACTTCAAGGATATCATCCATCCATCTTGCCCTTGGTTGGTGCCTCTTCCTTTTTCCTTCCATTTTCCCTCATTATCTTCTCCAAGCTTTCCTATTTTCTCATGATGTGGCCAAAGTACTTAATCTTTGCCTTTAATGTCCTTCCCTCCAGTGAGCAGCCAGGCTTTATTTCCTGGAGCATGGACTGGTTTGATCTTCTCATGGTCCAAGGCACTCTCAGAATTTTCTTCCAACACCAAAGTTCAAAAATGTCTATTTTCCTTCACTCAACTTTCCTTATGGTCCAGCTCTCGTATCCATAGGTTACTATGGGGAATACCATTACTTTAACTCTGCGGATCTTCATTGCCAGTGTGATGTCTCTACTCTTAACTTGAAGGGACATTATCATTATTAATGTCATCTATATAGGGGAGACACCATTGTGTCCTAAGTGCAGAAGTGCAGGAATGGCAATAGACCACTAGGGGGGACTGGCAAACCATACCTCCGAAGGGAACGTTGCAGATTCCAGTCCTCTGACACTTATGCTCCACACCTTTCTGGCAAGGGGATGCAGGGGGCATCATGACCTGGGACTGGAGGCAGGCCGCCCTCCCCAGATGCATACACTGTTCCTAACCAACTGACCATGTATGGACACTACCCTTGAAGACAGGAAGGATGACATCACCTGTTGCTGACCTTACCTGCAGATTACCTCACCCTTGAGAGTCCAACCAATCACTTGACAATTATGTAATCCCCCACTGTTGCTATGCAGACTTTGCTAAAGAGCACAAAAACCTATATAAGCTTGGCTTAGAGAACAATAAAGGGTCATCATCATTCACTTCTATGCCTGCTTCCCGCCTGGTCATTATCGCGTTCACAACATCTGGTGACCCCGACGTGATAGGATCCAGGCCTTCCATCCCATGCTTACCGCTGGAATAGCTACAAGGTGCGCACCTCAACGAGTTTTCTCGTTCCCTCTCTCGTAAGTATGGGGTTAAGTATGTCAGTTCCGCAGCTGAGGCATGCACAAGAACTGTACAGGTTGTTAAAGCAGGCAGGGCATTTTGAAGTAGATCAGGACCAGGTAAAAGATTTACTTGGAGAAATCAGATATCATTGTTTATGGTATCCAGAAGAAGGTTCTTTAGACCCATCAGATTGGGTCAGGATAGGTCAAACCTTTCTTGAAAAACCCCAGGGGACAATTCAACAATTGTGCCTTTGGAAGCAATGTTGTGAAACAATCACTCTCCTGGGAGTGACAGATAATCGCCCACCCGTGGCTCCGGTCACAAATCAACCTCTCCCGACTCGGATCATAAATCCTCTTTTTACCCCGCTCGAGATGGGATGTTCACAGATAGCCCTCCCTATCTCGCCTTCATGTGTCTTTGCTTTTGAATCATCCCCCGCCGATTCAAATCTCCCCTTCACTTCTCTTGAAAATAAACAGCCAAGTCTTGAGAAGTTTTTACAGCCCCAGCCACTGAGAGACATGATTTCTCAGAACCATTCAAAATGCTGGCGGCCAAGAAAACATAACCATAACCCTTCATGACATGACAGGATTCAAAAAAACTCTATCCTCTTCTGATCACATTCAAAACACAACAGCCGTAATTCCAGATCTAATTCATGGCTCCGACACATTCACTAAAACAGCTGGCCAACCGGAGCTCCCAACAATGACATTTGATCCTGCTTTTCCATACATTCAGTGGGCTCCCGAAATCCAAACATTTAAACAGCCTGACATTGATCACAAAACAATCATTAATATCATCATTTGCTGCCCAGATTCAGAATCTGAAAAATCATATGCCTCTGCAGAAGGCGTTACATAAATAAACAATGCCTATACCATGTCCGGATGGACTATCAGGTCACAGACCTCCACCTTCTCCTAATACATCATTGATGAGACAGTTTAACAACCCCTATCCCATTCCCTTGAATTTCAATCGACACCAGCCAGATACGGCTATGTCGGTGTGATTTTCTTAACACACACCCCCCCTCCAAAAGATATCATTAAAACATTTCTATTTAACAAGATTTCCATTCAACAAAAACATAAAGTTCCCATAATAAATATGGTTAAAAAACACCCTCTGATAAACTTATAGTGTCATTAAATAGACATTTGTTACAAAATGATTTTCAAGATAAACTTCTGTTCAATCAAAAGTTCCAGAGTTATATTACATAAATAATCTAAAATCAAAGATCTATATATAGAATCCTCATTCTTTTTAAAATTATGTTTTGATAAAAAAGCTTTCAAAGTTTAATTTTGATAAAAGATAAACAATACACAGTCCCTTAAAATTATCAAGCTTCATTTTCTTTAATGCTAAACAACATTGATTAATTATGAGATATAATGGGAGCCACGACACAACATCTAAATAGTGATTCCCAACCTTCCTCATGCTACGGCTCTTTAAGATAAATTCTTTATGTTATACTAACCCTCAACTGAGAAATGTTTGAGATTGTTTTCATTTGCTATTATTGTTTCATAGTTATAAGTTTGCTTGTTGTTATTATTGTTTCATAGCCATAAGTTTGCTACTGTTATACATTGTGATATACATGTCTGATATACAAAATAGATTCTCATTTACTTAATCTAGTTTGATACACATACCTATACACAACAATTTAAATACTGATAGAGTTGGTGTTGATTTCAAAATCAAAAGTTATAGTTCCTAAAATTCATAATTCACAATCAAAAAACATTTTGAACTCCACCAACAATGGAATTGAACCAAACTTGACACACAAAACTTTTTGTCCCTTTCATTTCAAAGGGTCAATTATATATGAGACTCACATTACATTCAACTTATACACTCTTAAGTTTTTAATCACACCTAAAAACCATACATTTCATCTGATGCTTACAGATGAATCAGCTCCACAAAAATACACTTCTTACAAAACATTAGTTAACAACACATGCTTACATGATAACATATCTTGCTATGTTATTAATCATATTACACATTAAACATTTTTGCTTAGTTCATTTTAAGATTGAGTTTATTAAGTCTACAAATCATAGCTTTGTTTGTTTCTTTTGATGTTCTTTTCCCTTTCCTAAAACACCAAACTCCCCCCCTCCATATCAAACACAACACGCTAAAATCAACATTTTAAAAAAGTCTGGTTTCAGCTTTCAATAAATCATTCATTGATTGATTAATGACTATCAAAATCCTTATTCTTCAACAAAACACAGCCCTATAAGGGTCATGCCTTTTCATCCTCATACTACAAAACCTATTATCCATTTCTCATTACACAATTACTAAAGTTTTCCAACAGGTCTACTGTTGATCATTATCACACTCATCCACATATATTTCAACAGATTAAAACCACTTACCCATAACATTGCTCAAAATACATTCCTTAAAGATTTTAATACAACATTTTCTACCTTGGTCGAGTCTATTCTTTTAGACTCTACCCACATTGCTACCTAAACCTAAAAAAAAAAAACTTAAAGCTGTTTTTTTCTTTTACAACTTTCTGCCAGTTTCAAAGTTTTTAAAATCATACCATCCCAATACTAAAAATTAAACATGGCTTCCCACTGTTAACCTGGGTTTAACACACTCAGTTTTCTTAAGATATTCAGTTAATCTGATCTCTTCATCACAAACAGTTTTGGTTCTGTCTCCAAGCCATCCCTACACATCTAAATACATTCATAAACATCTCTACTACAACATACCTTATGTTACAATGCTAAGTTCACAATGTTTTGCCCACATCTTTAACATTCCCTACGATGGCCACACAAAACGAGATTGCTTCAAATCATACCTCTACAGACCATCTGCTTCTTCTCACACACAAACAAAAAAAAAGGGGGAGTCACCCCCTGGCCTTTTCGCTGCTCTTTTGCTTTCGCTTTCCAACGGTTTTCCAGCAATGGCCTTCCTATATGTGTTATTTACCATTAATCATTTGAATTTAATTTTATCTGATTCTTCTTTCGTTACCAGGATCCAGAAAGCATTTCCCTCTCCCTACCCCCTTTCACTCCCTTGATACAGGTTGCCAGATCCGGAATAAAAAGGCCCAGCTCCCCTCATCGCCTAAAGTCAAAGATACTGCTGTGACGGGTCGATTTGAGTTAAAGTCATAGAGTCAAGGAGTTAAAAGAGACCTCATGGGCCATCCAATCCAACCCCCTGCCAAAAACCAAGAGTTCCTGCTTCGGCTGTCATAAACCTATAAACTTTAACAAACATGACTTGCTTTTTGACAACATTGTTCAATCACACACTCTCTGTCATTGGCTTCTTCAATCAAGCGCTTTGAGTTCCTGCTCGCTACATTTGCCCCTGAAAAGATGACGTGGCACCAAGGCCTCCAAAATCCCATTCACCCTCCAGTCAATTCTATGTGTTGTTTCAAACTTCAACAAAATATTTATGCATGTTGTTTTTTAAAGACTTAGCTTAACATAATAAGCAAAACACTATACCTGCTTGATCAAACTTTTATTATCTAATTTGTTTACTCTACACAGCTATTGATGGCCTATATAATAATCTGCTACTGCTACATTTGATATATATATATATCCCATTGTTATAAGCTTCTTGCTAGCCTCACGCTCTGCTGACCTTTCCCTGCTGCCTCAAAATGATATCCTAATATATGACCCGGCTTCCTGTCGACTGGATCAAAAGAACAGTTCAAATTGCTTTATTATTGTCTGGCTATTTGATCATATGCTGTTGCTACATTCAATATATCCCATCCCTGTGACAGCTTTACCAGCCACGGCCCCTACAAGCCCCTCCCAGGCGTGATGTCCTTTATACATACAAATTGTTATTAAAACAAACAAAAAAAGGGGGGATGAAGGGACATTATCATTATTAATGTCATCTATATAGGGGAGACACCATTGTGTCCTAAGTGCAGAAGTGCAGGAATGGCAATAGACCACTAGGGGGGACTGGCAAGCCATACCTCCGAAGGGAACGTTGCAGATTCCAGTCCTCTGACACTTATGCTCCACACCTTTCTGGCAAGGGGATGCAGGGGGCATCATGACCTGGGACTGGAGGCAGGCCGCCCTCCCCAGATGCATACACTGTTCCTAACCAACTGACCATGTATGGACACTACCCTTGAAGACAGGAAGGATGACATCACCTGTTGCTGACCTTACCTGCAGATTACCTCACCCTTGAGAGTCCAACCAATCACTTGACAATTATGTAATCCCCCACTGTTGCTATGCAGACTTTGCTAAAGAGCACAAAAACCTATATAAGCTTTGCTTAGAGAACAATAAAAAGGTCATCACCATTCACTTCTACACCCTGCCTCCCGTCTGATCATTCTCGCGTTCACAACATTAACTATTTTATCAAGATTGGTCATTATTCTCCTTAATGGCTCTGTAGGAGAGAGAAATTCAACTGGGGATGCTTGCATGAAAAGCAAGATCTGCTGAAATTATCTGTTCCTGATTTCACCTGTGACCCTACTGATCTATTGACTCTGAATATGGAGGTTCTGTTTTCAGCTGACCCTCTATGAAATAGTTTAATGAACTGTGAAAGAAGAGTGGGTGAGTGCTCTTGTCTCTCTGTAGGGATGTTACTATATTCACTTGGATTGTACTAGCTTGGGTGTTGGACTACAATTCTGGAGACCACAGTTCAATTCCACACTCAGCCATGGAAATCTTCTAAGTGACTTTGAGTAAGTCACACACTCTCAGAAAATGCTGTGACAGGGTCACCATCCATTAGAAATGAGTTGTAGCTAGACAACAACAGTTACTGGAGAACATAGGAAAATCATTTTATGCCTTCCAGCAAATCCCTTTTCTCTATGATGACCTTTCTATTTTTCTTCTTCTCCAGGGGGTTTTCTTCTTCAGCGTTATTGAAATGACTCCCCTGAGTCTAGGGAAATATGTTTATCCATTTTGGGGACAAGGCATTGGATGGTCCATGGCCTTGTCCTCAATGGTCTTGATTCCAGGATACATGCTATTCTTTTTCTTCACTGCAAAAGGAACAATCCGACAGGTAAGAAGAACTCTAAAGCCATTTCCATTTGCATTGAAGGAACAGTTCAAGGAAGCCCTGTCATTGTGGTAGTGGCTTAAAGGCTCACAAGTGTGAATGAAAGTCTGAATCCTTTGTGTTAATCTTTAGATTGTTGAATGTTGAGTCGATACTTAGGCAAATCTACTGGATTTAATTTATTTATTTATTTATTTGCTTTATTTCTATACCGCATATTTCAGCCCAAGCAGGCGAGTCTGTTCTTGTTGGATCTAACCATAGAATTCAGGCCTAAGAGCAGAAGGTTGTGTTTTTAGCAAACCTGTGTCCTGTTATATTAAGGACAATCTTTTATTTAAAAGTCCCAGTCTAATAAGAAGAGAGAGCAGGGGATGAATGCTACCTGGACATCACCCAGTAGACTTATAGTCCACCTGGTCTTGCTTAAAATGTATGTCTATTTATTTGAATTGTGTCCAATTGTCTTCCACTTTCACGAGGGTAATTAAAAGTGAAAAAATCACAAACACTCTTTTAACCTAAGAGAACACTTCTTTAAGAATCTCTAGGTTTTTCAGAACAACTCCATGCTTAATTTCCAGTAGAAGTTGACTATAGATTCATATGGAAGGGCGCGGAGTTCCCTAAAGATAACATAATCAAATCAGCAAAAGTTAAATTCACAGATGTGGAGAGCTAATAATATTATTTTAATTTATTTACATTATTTATATTCCACCCTTCTCACCCTGAAGGGAACTCAGGGCAGATCACAGAACATACATATGCAGCAAACAGTCAATGCTGTTTTATATACAAACAAGACAGACAATTGTACATAGACAGAGAGATATATTGGCTTTTCCCATCTTCGGCATCTTGGAGACTTTGTGCTCAGTTCCGTCCACAGGAGGTGGTGCCACTCCATCTCCCTGCCAAAGAGCTTTTGTTCGTAACTTCCTCCTTTGATCGAATTGCCAGCATTCCTTATGGGTGCGTCACAATACCTCCTCACTTTTAAGCGGTACCTATTTATCTACTCACATTTGCTTTCAAACCGCTAGGTAGGCGGAAGCTAGGCTAAAGGCCAGCATCTCACCCTGACCTGGCCTTCGAACTGGCAGCCTTTTTTACTGACAAGATTTACTGTAGCTAGTGGTTGCAGCTGCTATGCTAAAGTACAGCCCTAAAACATGATTAAAAGGAGTTAAAACATTTAAACATATTTAAAACATAATTTACAGTCAAAGATTAAAAATACAGCATGCCACTGCCCTGGGAAGTCGGACTTGGCCATGGTGTTCCATGATCTAATTACATCCAGGATAGATTACTGCAATGCACTCTGTGTGGGGTTGCCTTTGAAGACTGTTCTGAAACTTCAAATAGGTCAACGAGAGGCAACCAGGTTAATAACTGGGACGGCATACAGGGAGCACACAACTCCCATGTTACATAAGCTCCACTGGCTGCCAGTTTGCTACCGGGCACAATTCAAAGTGCTGGCTTTGGCCTGTAAAGCCCTAAACGGCCTTGGCCCAGTTTACCTGTCTAAATGCATCTCCCTTTATGAGCCACCACGAAGACTAAGATCTTCTGGGGAGGCCCTGCTATCGGTCCTGCCACAGTCCCAGGCTGTTTGGCGGGGATGAGAGACAGGTCCTTCTCAGTGATTGTCCCCCTGCTGTGGAACTCCCTTCCTGGTGAGACTAGATCAGCCTTCTCTCTCCTGTCCTTCAGAAAGGTGGTAGAAACCTGACTGTGGGACCAAGGCTTTGGGACAGTGCAATGAGGCAATAATAGGAAACCTACTCTGGTGACCGGAGCCAGCATGGTGTCTTGAGTTGTTTTTAAACAGCTGATTTTAAAGTAGAAATAAGTTATTTTAATGTTTGTGTGTATGTGTATAGTTTTATGTCCCGGTATAGAATGTTTGCCATGTATATGTTGTGCGCCACCCTGAATCTCCTTTGGGGTGAGAAAGGCAGAATAGAAATGTTTTAAATAAATAAATAAATAAATAAATATGCACACCAGCTCCATAATTAAAATTCAAAGACTGACCTGAATAAAAAAAATCAAAACCTGCATGAAATCTTCTAGACACAGACAGTAGCCAGTGGAGCTGTTTCAACAGGGGAGTCTCATGATACCTGTAACCAGGCTTGATCAACAGCGTGGGCTGCAGCATTTCATTTCCAAACAATTCCCAAAGACAAAGCGCATTGCAGCAGTCCAAAGAAAGACAGAGAGAACCTTTTCATTATAAAAAGGTTTGCAAAAGAAAAGCAGCAAACAGGATGAAAACATGACAGTGCTTAAACAGAAGAAATAGCAGTGAAAGGGATTCAGACAAGCGTGGATGTCAAATCCAGACCCTTCGCTTGTTGTTGTTGTTCATTCGTTCAGTCGTCTCCGACTCTTCGTGACCTCATGGACCAGCCCACGCCAGAGCTCCCTGTCGGCCGTTACCACCCCCAGCTCCCTCAAGGTCAGTCCAGTCACACTTTCTTATTTTCATCTCATCCTGCCTTGGTCGGCCCCTCTTCCCTTTCCCCAGCATAATTGTCTTCTCTAGGCTTTCCTGTCTCCTCATGATGTGGCCAAAGTACTTCAACTTTGTCTCTAGTATCTTTCCCTCCAGTGAGCAGTCGGGCTTTATTTCCTGGAGGATGGACTGGTTGGATCTCCTCGCAGTCCAAGGCACTCTCAGAACTTTCCTCCAACACCACAGCTCAAAAGCATCTATCTTCCTTCGCTCAGCCTTCCCTAAGGTCCAGCTCTCACATCCGTAGGTTACTACAGGGAATACCATGGCTTTGACTAGGCGGATCTTTGTTGCCAGTCTGATGTCTCTACTCTACTATTTTATCGAGATTGGACATTGCTCTCCTTCCAAGAAGTAAGCGTCTTCTGATTTCCTGGCCACAGTCTGCATCTGCAGTAATCTTTGCACCTAGAAATACAAAGTCTGTCACGGCCTCCACGGTTTCTCCCTCTATTTTCCAGTTGTCAATCATTCTTGTTGCCATAATCTTGGTTTTTTGACGTTTAGCTGCAACCCGGCTTTTGCGCTTTCTTCTTTCACCTTGATTAGAAGGCTCCTCAGCTCCTCCTCGCTTTCGGCCATCAGAGTGGTGTCATCTGCATATCTGAGGTTGTTAATGTTTCTTCCAGCAATTTTCACCCCAGCTTTGCATTCATCAAGGAATGATGTGTTCTGCATACATGTTAAAAAGGTTGGGTGAGAGTATGCAACCTTGCCGTACGCCTTTCCAATCTTGAACCAGTCTGTTGTTCCGTGGTCAGTTCTTACTGTTGCTACTTGGTCCTTGTACAGATTCCTCAGGAGAGAGATAAGGTGGCTTGGGAAGACCATCCACTAAGAACTTGCCACAATTTATTATGATCCACACAGTCAAAGGCTTTAGAATAGTCAATGAAGCAGAAGTAGATGTTTTTCTGAAACTCCCTGCCTTTCTCCATTATCCAGCGGATACTGGCAATTTGGTCTCTCGTTCCTCTACCTTTTCTAAACCCAGCTTGAACATCTGGCAACTCTCGCTCCATGTATTGCTGGAGTCTTCCTTGCAGGATCTTGAGCATTACCTTACTGGCATGAGAAATAAGGGCCACTGTACGGAAGTTTGAGCAGTCTTTCGCATTTCCCTTTTTTGGTATGGGGATATAAGTTGATTTTTTCCAGTCTGATGGCCATTCTTGTGTTTTCCATATTTGCTGGCATATGGCATGCATCACCTTGACAGCATCATCTTTTAAGATTTTAAACAGTTCAGCTGGGATCCCGTCGTCTCCTGCTGCCTTGTTATTAGCAATGCTTCTTAAGGCCCATTCAACCTCACTCCTCAGGATGTCTGATTCTAATTCATTCACCACACCGTCAAAACTATCCTCAATATTATTATCCTTCCTATACAGATCTTCTGTATAGTCTCGCCACCTTCTCTTGATCTCTTCAGCTTCTGTTAGGTCCTGCCATCTTTGTTTCTTATCATACCAATTTTTGCCTGAAATTTACCTCCAATGTTTCTAATTTTCTGGAAGAGGTCTCTTGTCCTTCCTATTCTGTTGTCTTCTTCAACTTCCATGCATTGCTTATTTAAAAATAGTTCCTTATCTCTTCTGGCTAACCTCTGGAATTGCGCATTTAACTGGGCATATCTCCCCTTATCCCTGTTTCCTTCTGCTTTCCTCCTTTCTTGGGCTACTTCCAGTGTCTCAGCAGACAACCATTTTGCCTTCTTGGTTTTCTTTTTCTTTGGGACGTACTTTGTTGCCGCCTCCTGAACAATGTCTCGGACTTCTGTCCATAGTTCTTCTGGGACTCTGTTTACTAAATCTAGTCCTTCAAATCTGTTCTTCACTTCCACTGTATATTCACTAGGAATGTTAGTGAGATCATATCTAACTGGTCTGTGTATTTTCCCTGATCTCTTTAGTTTTATTCTAAATTGAGCAATAAGAAGTTCGTGATCTGAGCTACAGTCAGCCCCAGGTCTTGTTTTCACCGACTGGATGGATGTCCGCCACCTTTGGCTGCAAAGGATGCAGTCAATCTGATTTCGGTGCTGACCATCTGGTGAAGTCCATGTGTAAAGCCGTCTTTTAGGTTGTTGGAAGAGAGTGTTTGTTATACACAGCGAGTTTTCCTGGCAAAATTCTATCAGCCTGCGTCCCGCTTCATTTTGTTCTCCCAGACCATGCTTGCCTGTGATCCCAGTTGTCATTTGACTTCCCACCTTGGCATTCCAGTCTCCTGTAATGAAAATAATGTCTCTTTTTGGTGTATTATCCAGTAGGTCCTGCAGATCCTCATAGAACTGATCTACTTCTGCTTCTTCAGCAGCTGTGGTTGGGGCATATATTTGGATCACTGTAATGTTGAAAGGCTTTCCTTGCACTCGAATTGAGATCATTCTGTCAGTTTTTGGGTTGTATCCAAGCACCGCTTTAGCGAATTTCTTATTAATTATGAAGGCTACTCCATTTCTTCGATGTTC